TATTAAACATAAGTCCACAAAAAGGGGGAGGAGTGCCCTGAGATGGTCGCTCCAGACCTGAGCTTATAAGGAAGACCGAGAGTACAGGTTGACCCTGAGAGGGCTCCTGGTTCATTCTCTGCCTCAGTCTCCCTTCTCTCAAACTCTGCCCCATTTCTCACACCCCTACATTGAGGTCGGCCCTCAGTCTCACCTTCTGTTACTGTCCCAGACCCAGCTGCCCCTGACCGGTAGATAAGTTTCCGGTGCTGACACTGTCCCCACCCCCTCCAGGGCGCAGCTGCGTTAAACGGCCCCAGGCGGGCCTCTGGGGGCCCAGAAGGCTACAGTGTGCACTGGGATGGAGTGGCTGCGTTCTCTCCTTTGTCTGGTACCCCGCAGGTCCAGAACCTCGGCCCCGCATCGTCCCTCCCCCACCCCCTCAACCGCACCTCCGCCTTGGAGCAGGAAGAACATAAAAGCGAAGAGGAACCCGGATGAGTTAGGGTTCCCATGTTCTCTCCACCCCACGGCGCACGGTGGATTAAAAGTGACTAGAATTCGATGTGGAGGCTCAGCGTTCCTGGAGAGGCTGGAGGGGGTCGCTCCCTGAGGGACGCAGCCAGGGACACCTCCACCTCCAGCCCCACTCGTTGACTTCAGGCCTGGAAACTCAAATTCTAAAGTCTTAGAGCGAAAAGGATCCTGAGGCAATGCTTTCCCCATTTTACAGATGCGTAACCTGAGGCCGAGCAGGGCCTTGTTCAAGGTCACCTAGAAAGTCTAAGGTAGAGGAAAGGCTGTGGGCTGGGAACCTCTTTCTCAGAAGGGCCTCTACAGAGCCACTCGTGGGATGGCAGGGAGTTTGGAGGTGGAGTGAGGGGGTGTATGCTGCCAAATCAAAGAATCTAGTTAGGTTGGATATGCCGGCACAAACCAGTTTCCTCCCAATACCTGTGCGGCTTGGACAGAATCCTCAGAGTACTGCTGAGGTGGGATGGAACCAAAGATATTAACCAAGCAGGAATAGCTTGGATTCCCATTTCACACAGAGGGTGTGCGGCTTCAGGACGGTGTTGGGCTGCCTAATGTGTGCGGCGACAGGTGCCCAGGACAGGGGGAGATTCCCTCTGGGTAGGGGTTCTTCACCGCCTCCAGCCTCCAAGCCGGCTGCCTTCCGAGAACTTCTCACGCCAAGAGGCGCCACCAGACCTGACATCCTGGCCACCTACCCTAGCCTTACAGGCCACCAAACAGCGGCCCCGAGAAGTAACATGGCTAGCGCGAGATTACACAGCGATTCCCTGACGGAGCCGGGCTTCCCCGCGCCACAGTTCTGCCTCCGAGGGCTCACGAGCCCACGAGTCTGAGTGAGACTAGCGGGGAGACAAGCAAATGAGAGACAGACCAGACTAGCAGGGACCTGGTCTCACCGCCCTGGCGCTGAATCCGGTCAGGCCTCGCTGTGTGCAACTGTCACGGGGTTACCTTCCCCCAACCGCACAACTTTGGGCAGGGCCCTGTGCTAAGCGCTGGCGGCAGATACTGGGAAGGAAAACCATCCGGGAAGAAACTCAATTTATAGAAGTCGAATTGCCTTTGAAAGTTCTGCTATTGAAAGAAAGCCCATTGAGCATTAATTGAGAAGCCAAAATACCTCCAGAGGAACATCCACCTTGATCTTCAGTCAGCAACCTGCCCTCACTCAGAACACACTCCCTCCCTGCCTCCCCTTTCTTTCCAAGTCCACCCCTCCAGCATGTGTCTGGGGGTTGGGGCTGCTATAGGGCTCTAGGGGCCTGAAATGGACTTCTCCAGCCCATATCCCTGGTCTTGCTTCAGGCAAAGCAAGGCCTACAGGGTTCAGATTAGGTGCTCAGTTTGTGAGAGTCAGAGATACTGCTGCCATCACAGTCCTAACTTGATAGGTCCTCTCTTTATAACCCTCATTTTATTTTATTTTTTTTAAGGTTTTGTTTTTGTCTTGTAATCTCTATACCCAACATGGGGCTCCAGCTCACAACCCCAAGATCAAGAGTCCCATGCTCTTCCAACTGAGCCAGCCAGGTGCCCCCTCTCTGACCCTCATTTTAAAAAGTATCAAAGAGAGAGCACAACTGACCCAGGTTACATAGAGAGTTGGGCAAAGTGGATTCCAGTGTGACTAATGCACTTGGATCAAGATTTTCTGTAGGCATCATTGAAGTAGGTAGAAAGGAGAATTTAACCAGATTTTTCAAGAACCATGTTAACTGCTTTTGTCAGGGTTTGTTATCACTAGTAGTGCACCCTGCAGGCCAGGGGCTCTGGCACTATCTTTCTCTCACCCAAATACTTCCTGCTATGGACCCCTTCTCCTAGGGCTCAGCTTCCCTATATGTCTAATGGGGAGAACCCTTGAGATGAGGCCTCCCAAGGTTCTGAAAGATGAAGATCCATGGTTAGGGAGGATTGTTATTCCAACACGCTCATTCCAGAGCTGGGGGACTGGATGCCAATGCCCAGAGAGTGTTCAGCCTCTCCTGGACTTCCTGACCTTGGACTCCTTAAGCCAGCTTGGCCAATAGTCCTTTTTCTCCAAGGGGGGCCTTGGGAGATGGGGGTCTATCTCCTCTCCCAGCAAGAATGAGGGGTTAAGGGCAGAGAAGTCACCTTTTGGTCCTACTCCCTCCGTACCCCTTGCTGTATGATGTCAGACAAGTCCCTGCCCCTCTCGGTGGACATCAGTTTTTCCTTTTTGGTACCACAATGAAGAAGCTAGACAGGAGGATCCTTAAGTGGCTCTGTGCTTAAGGCTGACCTTACCTGATCTTGGGCTTAGAGCTAAAAAGGTATATATACTCCTTCCCCATTACACAGATGGGGAAACTGAGGTCGTGAGAGGGAATGGAAAACAGTTCTGAAGGAAGGAAAAGGAGGTCAAGTGGCCCAAAAAAGGCCTCCAAGTTGGGAGATGGGAGAAACCCACACAAAACCCCTAAAACCAGACATGGATGCCCCCTCCCTGGCCAGCTTCTCAGCTCTCTCCTCCCCCCCCTCCCCCGCCACCCCTGGGGCCCAGGCAGGTGCAGACAGGCAGAAGTGCAGTGTCACCTGGGAGCTCCGCCCTTTCCAGGGGCAGGAGGCCCTTACCCCAGCCCAAAGGAGAAGAGGCGTGGCTCTCCAGATTTTTAAACTCGAGCCAGACTAGGACCCCCCCAGCCCCACCCAGGTCTGCCTTACTGAGGAATGAAATGCTTTATTGATTAAACGATTATTCAGGCGATTGAACTAATCAAAGAGCCCATCGACCGCCCTGAATTACATTCTTGGTAGACAGCTCTGGAAGGGAGAGGCAGCCCCGCCAGCCACGCAGACACTCCCCCAGACCCTCACGTGCCTCTGACCCATTCCCAACATACAGAGAAGACCTACTCCTTGATCTGGCGCCGGCAACCCCGGGAGTCCCACCTACCAAGGGACCCAAGGGGGTGGGGAGGTGGGAATGGAGCAGAGGGAGTTTCCCAGATCCCCTTTCTTACACCTTCACCCTGGGGAATCCTCTTTAATTCCCCAGTTCTTAGATTTCTGTCCTCACTTGTTACAATTCTGAAAAGCTATCTATGCCCAGAGAGTTGTCCTGGGTTTGGAGTATAAGTCCACCCCTCTCTCTCTGCTTTTTGACCTCTGTTTAAGGCTGGAGTGGAGGCCTCAAAGAGCCATAGGGATAAGAGAAGTGGAAGAATTCTTGCCAGCAGGGCCAGGAGTGTGTTTGGGTGGGGGTTAGTACATTTGGCCTAATGAGTAAAAGAGGCTCCTATACCCAGCTTTAATCTCAGGACAAACTGAGGCCTCCTGCTGCCTGCCACCTCCTTTTAGATATAAACACACTCTGCTACCCACTGCCTGGGCCTGTGGGTGGCACACCAGGCCCTGTGCCAGGAAGGCCCATGTGCATACAGGCACCAGAGTTGGATGCCCAGGCTAGGCACACATGTCCACTCACTTGTGCTCTCGTCCTTTGGAGCAGCACCCACAACATAAAACCTGAGCACACAATACATGCACACACCATTGTCAAAGGCATGTCTAGGTGAAAGTGACGGCAGGTTGGAGGTCCCTAGAAATGTCATAACTAGCCTATGGGTTGCCTACCCTCCCTTGCCAAGGTTGTGCCTGCCACAGGAAACAGTTTTATACAAATGGTAGGCTCAGCAGTGCCCACAGAGTGAAGCAGTGCGCACCACACACCGAGGGACTGCACACCCTGAAATCACACCTCCACTCCTAGTTCTCCCAACAGAATGTGTCCTGACCTTGACTATTCACAGGCTTAGCACAACAGACCCCCCCCACACACACACACAGCCCTAGATCCATCTCTGTGCCTAGAGGCAGACACTTTTGTGTACGTTGGCATAGACACAGTGAAAAGCTGCCGACATCCAAAAATGGAGGGGTCAGTGTAACCCCCTCATTCTCACTTCCAAAAGCACTTGGGATATGACAGGTGAACACAGACCCTTAAAGGAGTAGATGGACACTCAGACACTTATCCAAATTACACATACTCCACTCACACACGTTTTGGATACACAGAGTACAGTACCCAGAAACACCAACTCATAAACATGCACTAACACACCCATGAATATAAGGATACACATACACAGAGGCACATAAATTTTTTAACACACACATTTGGAAAATACATATACGGGGACATACAAAGTCAGTGTCACTCATGCACACTCTGAGCCCCTATGTAAACACACAGACCCAAACGAACTTTCAGACCCCCAGATAGTCACCCACATAAACATTCAGAAACAGAAAAAAACACAAACTCACAGACACTTGAGCTGATGCAGAAGTGTGCGAACAAATTGGTGAAAAGACATACAAACGTGCCGCAGATAGACACGCAGTCAATCCCTGAGAAAATGCGGTTCACTCCCTCCCCCAGGGCCGACGTGCGCGTGAGGACCAGACCTGGCCGGGTCCTGGAATTGGCACGCCTGGAGCCCAAATCGCGGTCCTACCTGTCCTGCCGGTCCGAGGAGTTGGGTAATTTTTCTCTAAATCCATTTTGATTTTTCAGAACTTGAAGTGGACAGGGGAAAAAAGTTTCCACTTTTTTTGTGCTTCTTTTTTTTTCTTTTTTCTTTTTTCTCGTCTTTTTTCCTTTTCTTTTCTCTCTTTTTCTTTTCTTTTCTTTCTTTCTTTCTTTCTTTCTTTTTTTTTTTTTTGGTGCCAGGGGCCGCTCACAGGTCGGAATAATTCAAGCCTTCCGCTCCCCCGCCGAGCTGGGGTAGCTGATCACTGAGCTGAAACTAAACGTTTTAGGTGGAAAAAAAGCGTCCGAAGGCACCGTGAAATGATTAAGGAACTAAAGAGCTTCTCGCCATGTGAGATCATGTCCTGTTCTCGCCAACATCACAAGATGTCCCCAGACACGCCGCGCCCCCAGCGTGCCGCCCCGCACCGCCGGCCGGAGCAGGGAAAGGGTGTCCGCGCTGTGCGGCGGGGCCTGTTCAGCTGGCCAGACGGGGCGGGCCGGGCCGGGCCGGGCCGGAGCAGTGCGGGAGGCCGGGAGAGCAGCAGTGCCGCTGCCGCGCCGCCCTGGACTTTTATAGGGGTTGGGGGGAGGGAAGGAAGGCTTTAAACGGAGCCGGGCGCTAGCCCGCGCGCCCACGGGAAGGTGCGGACCGAAGGCAAGCCAGGAAGCCCTGGCCTCGTGGCCGCACGTTCTACAAATCCCTGCGTCTCGGAGTCGCGGCCCTGTGCAGGGTGCGCGAGGCGGGTGACCCCTCTAGGTGTAAGCCCCGCCGCGTAGGCGGGTGCAGGCCGGGTTTTTGTTTTTTAAAAAATTAACCACCCTGCCCAGCAGGTGTTTTTGAAGGGGGTGCAAAGGCAAGTAGTGTCGCCAGGCAGAGAGAGGGCGTTCCAGTTTCCTCAGATTCACCCCTAGGGCGGCGCCCGCCCCCAGAGCTCTCAGCCACCCCACCCCCACCCCAATTTGCAGCTCTAATACCATTGCCGGGTCCCTGACTTTAGGGTAGTGCCAGAACCCTAAAGTTCCCAGGTCCCCACTCAGCCTCCTAGTGCCAGAGCTCCCTCCCACACCATGTCCCATTCTGGCCCGGTGCATATGTGAAATGCTGGAAATAAAATCCGGGCCTCCGCTGAGGAGGTCCTGGAGATTGGCGGGAGTCCTGGACACCTTACCCCGGCCCCTAAATGGAATCCCTTTTCCCTCAAGCCCCGAGGCGTTGCTGCGTGCCCGAGACCCAGGACTTGAGTCCAGAGGGGAAATCAGCCCGAGAGAGACCGGGCAGTGGTGTGGCATGTCCAGCCCGCTCTCTTCGACCCAGGCTTAAAACTTCACTCCCTTACCCCCCTCCCCCCGTCCCGAGTCCAGCTGCAAGGCTTGGCCACTGGATGTCTGTGCGGCCCCGCTGTGGGGTGGTCGCAGGGGCAAGGTTCTCCAGGGCGGGGGAGCGCTCTGCAGGAGGACTCTTGGCCCTCCGGACAATGGCAGTTTCGGAAAGTGAATCGTCCTCAGCGAGAGTGTTGTTTGTTTTTTGGAGGGGGTGGTCACGAGGCTGGGCCGCAACCTAGGGGGAAGAGCCCAGAGCTCGAGAAAAGGGGGGTGGGGGAGGCTGGCGGGAACCGGACATCTCTTATCCACTGAGCCGATTTCGCCACAATCGGAAACGTGGCTGTGGATTCCCCGGCGCCCCCCCCCCCCCCCCCCACCACCACCAAGTAATCTGCGCAGTCCCCCTGCGCCGCCTCCTTCTTGCAGTCTTCGAGTCGGGGTCCCTGCCCCGGCGATTTGATTTTTGGCCCTCTCTGAGCGCTCGACTCTTCCTTCCGCTATCCAGCCCCAGCTCCTGCTTCCCGCCCTCTCGCCTAGCCCGCGCGGGGTGGCAGAGCCGAGGAGGAGCGGCCTGTCCGCGCCTAGAGATCAAAAGCCCTCCCGGAATTGACATTTTACCCCAGGCTGGGGGCGGGAGTTGTTGGGGTTGTTTTCTATTTAGAGGGTTTGTTTTGCTTTTGTTTGTTTCCCGTGAATTTTCTTTTCATAATCTATGAGAGAGTCTTTTGTTTCGGGTGTTTGCGTGTAGTTTTTTCGTGGATTTCATTTTAGAGGGTTTGGTTCTATGAGTCTTGGTCTTTTTGGTGGCTTCTGTTTTCTGTCTTGTGGGTTTTAATTTTATGTGTTTTGTACTTTGTCCTTGGAGGGTGTCTTCTTGTGTGTCGTTTTGAAGGCTGTTGCTTCTGCGCGGTGTTTTGATGTGTTCTGATTTTGTATTAGTGGGTGTCGTCTGTGTGTTTTGCGTTGGGTGAATTTTGTGTTTGTGTTTTGTTTTTCTTCGATTTTTATTTTGTTTTTACGAGCCGAGCGTTTGGATGGGGGTTTTGGTTTATATTTTCGTGTGTTGGCTTTAGTTTTTGTATTTGTGAGATGCTTTGGTGAGTTTTGCATGTGTGTTTTGGCTTTTTGGGGCTTTTGGATTAGGGAGGAGACACCGGGTACTGCTCTGTTCCTGTCTGCACCCAGGAAGGGCAGAGGATTAGGCCAAGCATCAGAAAGGATGGGTTCACGGTGCTCCGAAATACCTGACCCCAGCGCCGCCTTGTCCTACTCTGCGCGCTCCGGACCAAGGCGAAACAAATGAGCGTTCCCGAGGGGGCGCCCGCCCCTAGTCATAACCCTGCGGGTCGCGCGGCGCCAGTGCCAGGCTCAGAATTCACAGAGACACCCCACCCCCGCGGGGTACCCAGACCCAGTCGCCGTTCCCTTGCGCACCCTGTCCGCTGTGGGTCGATCTCCCCTTGCGCCTGGCTAGCTTGCTTCGGACCTCCCTGACTCCAGCAGCGTTGGACCGAGGGGCGGATCCCCGCCGCGGAGCAGGTGGAGAGCCTCTTCGGACTACGCGGAATTGATACTTCGGCCCTAGAGATACTTGGCAGGGGGCTAGGGACGCGTGGAGTCTAGGCGCAGATGGGCGTCGGGACCCCCCGAAAAGTCCCCCACCTCCCTTGCCCGCAGCCCTAGAATCCTAGAAACCCAACTCCGCTCAGCTTTCGGTTTGGAAAGCCTGCCCTGGTTTGCAACCACAGACACATAAATCCACACTGGAACACACGCATACACAGCTAGAGAGCGAAAGAGAGCGAGCCGGCGCCGCGGTAGCTGCGGCCTGCATGGCGTTACCGGCGCTGGCACCACCTCAAGGGGAAGCCAAACTGTAGTGACCGGAAATGTTGCAAGGACAGAATAAGGCATTCTTTCTGTCCACGTTGCCGGAATTTCTCCACCCTCGATACACCTGGATTTGTTTAATACTACACCATGGAGAAAGGGAGAGGCAGAGAGACACGCTGGTTAAACCTGCAGGGAAATGAGGGGAGAATCTATAGAGACAGAAATATGTCGAGGGAGAGACAAGACTGTGGGGAAGGGCAGATTGGAGGCCCAGGAAAGGGGCTGGTGTGGAGGCTTCTCCGGCCCCCTCGCGCTCTGGTATTCTGTAAGAGGGAGAAAGCAGAAACCGAGAACAGAGAGTGACAGGACAAGAAAGAGTCGCAGAAGGGGTTGGCCTAGGCACGCTGTGAGCTTCCCTCCAGCTAAGACGCTGCAGTCTAGGGAGGGGGAGGCCGACTTCGGGAGGAGAGGAGCCTAGCTCGGGCTCTTCCACTCCGCCAGGAAACGCCCGGGACTCCAGAGCCTGTGGAGCCGGGACTGGGGCTCGGTCCGACCCAGAGCCCCCCTCCAAGATCCCCAGCCCGGAATCCAGCAAAGGTTGGACCAGCGGGGTCCGCCGCTGGGCCTCGCTCTGGGCGAGCCCTGGGAGAAGCCGCGGGGAACGACTCTGACCCTGCGGCTCCCGGCTGGGGCCTGCGCTGAGGGTGGGTGGGAGTCGACGTCCAGACTGGAGGCGAAGAGGAGGCCCCGCCCTAAAGCTGGGGGCCCAGTTCTGGGAGCAGCTGAGGCCGCAGCTGGACTTGCAGGATTCGGGGTCCTTGCAGCGCGCACGTGGCACCGCACCTTCCGCAGGCGGCGCCCCTAATACCCAGCCCCGCCCTGCTTCGTTTGCCGGGTCTGGATGGTGTCAGGATTGAGGGTGGACGCCGAGGCGCGGCGAGTAGGTCCCTCGCGGTATAAGCTTGGGGCTTGCCTAGGGGCGGCGCTCGGGTGGATGCGGGCGCCTCTCCACTGGCAACTCCCCGGGCGCAGAGCGCAAAAAGCGCGTAACGCAGGCCAGTCGCCGCGGCAAGTTTTCTAGCGGCGCCGGCGGCAGAAAGGGGATGAGGAATGGTTTGGGTCAAAACGCCCATTTCTGCTGCCAGGGGGGTCCTCTGCGTATAAAGGGCTTCGAGGTCTGGCTGCTGGTAGCACCATGTGTTAGCGGCTTGCCATCCAGAAATAGTCGGGTAGCGCTGGAAAACACGATGGGGCTTGTGTTCGGGGAACCTGGTGCTCATGGTGGGTTATCGCTATTGTCTTACTTTACTGCTTTTCTTGCTTTAATTAAAAGCGTTATAGAGAGAAGCCTCAAAGAGGGCAGACCTGGGTCGTTTGCATGGGTTCATTTCAACTCAATCCAGTAATTAAATTCAGTTCCACTGTTGGTTTCCAGTGCACAGGTACACATGGCAGACGTCAAGTGTATACCGTATACATATGCACAGAGACGAGGTTTCAAGGCAATTCTTGGAGAATTTTGAGATAAAATTTACTCTCTTGTTACATTCGCAATATGTGACTATGGAAAACGGGCAGTCAGTTGTATTTAAAATTTGCTTACACTTCCCAGCAATCCACTATTACCTAAGATCCAAAACGGGGCATTGAAAAGATTTACTGGCACTGATTGTTTCTGAGAACAAGTGTAAATCAGTTTATTTCTTCTTATATTTCCTTTTAAATTTAACAATACCATAATTTGTAAATAGTAAAATCCTAATTTGCTAAAGAAAGTTTATACGTAGGACGTTTTATTTCTATCAATATTTATACGATGAGCTGTTAGCTCTCCTATCCCTTCTGCTTCCGCTAGTTCTCCGTGTAATGTGAGCTTTAAATATTCATGCGCCGGCCCAGACTTACATCCCCTTTAATATGTTTTAAACTAATAACATTTTAATGTGATA